CCCCTGCAGTCCAGCAGCGCCCCTCCCCATGACTGTACACACAGGACATCCCCCAGCCATGCATGTACAATTGGCTCCTGCCTGCAAACACGCCACCTCCACCACAAGTGGGGGCAGGAGCCTCAGGAATCTCATCTGGGCTCCCTACCCCCAAAACACTGAGCCAGCCAACAAGTACAAACCCAGGCAATGGTGCCCCAGAGTCCCAAGTGCTGTTCTCGACCCCATCCCTATGTCATCACCACCAACACCAGAATGGAGGAGAGTGAGAGTGGGGCTCCATCCCTCAGTCTTTGAGAGACCCTCAGTCCATGAAAGGCAACCTGGGGATCCGTTGGAGAGGACCCAATGGGAGTTCACTGGCCAGAAACAGACAGAATGGCATCCGCAGGAAGAGGCCTGCTCCGGCAGGCACAGATCATACCCAGGCTCTGACACCTTGGACAAGCCCCTTTACCACTGTGTGCCCCTGCATCTGTACCGGGGAAAAGAACCTGAGCATTGTGTGTTGGTGAGGACAAGATGAAGCCAGGCATAAAACCTGCGCTGGGTGACTGTGATAACTGATGGCTCAGGTTCAACACTGCCGTTGGCAAGCATTATCTGCATCTAATATTCCAGGCCCTAACCTCACTTAATACTTACAGCCCAAAGTCTCATCACCTTGGCACTACTGACATCTGAGCTGATAAATCTGTTGTGGCAGCCATCCTGGGCATGGTAGGACATGTGGCAGCATCCTTGGCCTCTATTTACTAAATGCTAATGCTATCATCCTAGTCATGACAACCAAAACTGTTCCCAGAGTGTAGGAGTATGTTAATACAATGCTGGCCTAGCATGCACATGCACTAGGTAAACAAGACACCTGTCTCCCAGCATTTGGGAGGTGGAGGCAAGAGGATCAGAAGTTCAAGGCTATCCTCAGCTACATCCTTGAGGCCAACCCAGGATACTTCAGACCCTGTCTCAAATAATAATAATAATAGTAATACTTATTCCCAGAATGTCCACATGCTTTGGGGGGTGGGGTGTCTCTCTGAATACAGAACCAGTCATAACATAATGAAACATGAACACAGGGAGGTAAAAGAACTACTCCTCAGTCAAAATTGGGTCGATGACGACTCTGAAACATGTACCATGACCATGTTACCATCCCTTTTTTGTTCTCCGGTCGATGACGACTCTGAAACATGTACCATGACCATGTTACCATCCCTTTGTTGTCAAACATCTCCCTTCTCTATCAGATCCTACCATCTCCCCAGGGCCTACCGCAAGCTGCAGGTCTCGGCTGCGCAGCACAGCTGAGTTCTTCTCCTCACTGAGTTGAGCCAGACGCATGGCGATCATATAGTTCTCATCCTTGAGCCGCAGCAGCTCCAGGCTGCCTGCCTCCCAGTCCTCACGCAACCGCTGGCAGCGTTCCTGTGCCTGTTGCTGCTCCCGCAGCCGCTGCTCCAGCCCTGCCCGCTCTTCCTCCAGTGCCCGGCCTCGGGCCTGTAGTTGCTGCTCCCGCTGCAGCTGGCTCTTTCGAGCTTCCCGAAGCCTCCGCACCTCAGTCATCAAGAACTGGGTTAGGCCCTCGGGCCCTTCCTCATCTGCCAGGGCAGGAAAAAGAATATTCAAGAGGGTCGAATAAAATCCAGGGACTACACAGAAAAACTCAAACCAGAAAATTACTAGAGAAAAATTCTGGAAGATGTTTTTGCTATTGTTGGACAGGGAAGGTCTTCCCAAACAAGGCATAAAATCCAGGAGTTATAAGAGAGAAAAAAAGTGGACAAATCTGTATTAAAATAAAGTTTGTTTTAAATATCTGGCCAGATGCAGTGGTGCATGACTTTAAACTCAGCACTAGGAAGCAAAGGCAGGTAGATTTCTAAGTTCAAGGCCAGCCTGGTTTACAGAGTTCCAAGACAGCTGGAGCTACACAAAGAAACCCTGTCTCAAAAAAATCAAAACCAAAACAAACCTCTGAAAAGTAAAAGAGCTAACAAAGTTACAGAACAAACAAAAATAAAGGAGGAAAAACCTTAAGGGAACTCAAAGCCATAATACATGAAGAGTTCCCACAAAACAAGAAAAGCAAACAACTGAAAAAGAAAAGAGGAAAAACTAAACATATGTTCCAACCCACAAGCTATAACAGCAACACCAGTCACTAGTGTTCCTTGACTTCATTCTTTATACTAGACACTGTATCGACTTATTTAAACTTCATGGCACTATAAAATAAATATTACCACTCTACCCATCTTGTTAACTCACTGTTCACTAAATAGTAAGCTATGAACTATATCACTTAAGAAGATAAAAATTTTGCTAGGGAGGTAGTGGACCACATCTTTAATCCCAGCACTTGGGATTAAAGTTTATATGGGGCAGGTGAATCTCTGAGTTTAAGGCCAGCCTGGTCTACAGAATGAGTTCCAGGACAGCCAGGACTACACAGAGAAACCCTGTCTCAAAGAGGGAAACAAAAGTAAAAACCAAAACCAGAAGATGCAAACCTGAAACATGATTTTTACATATCTGCCAGGCAAAAATGTTTCAAGATCATGCTTGGGATTCATAAAAGTATAGCAAAAGGACCCTCACACTCTGCTGGGGGAGGCATGCTCATAAAACACTTAAAATATATACATTCTTTGAGAAAGTCTACTTCAGAAACTCTCCCAAGTTCAGAATAGAACTTCACAGAGTTGCCCACTGGAGGATAGAATGTTACAAAACTAGAAACAACCTAGTTGTCCACCAGCTAAGGTTTCCACAAATGAGTTATGTGGCAGGACAGCTTCACTAAGACACATTGCTTATGCTGTCACTTCAAACAAGTGGAATCAGCCATTCTGCAAAAAAGCAAGATCCTGGACAAGGCAGGCAGGCCAAGCCTGAGTGTGAGTAACTGCTCGGACAAGAAGCCTCGACAACTATCCCACAAAACAAAAAAGACACAAGGTCTGGATGTGTAGTCAAAGCTGACTTGCAGCTCATTATATAGCCAAAGCTGGCCTTGAACTTGGTCCTGCCTCTGCCTCCTGAGTGTTACTACAGACCAACATCACATCACCACAGTGGGCTTGAACTTCTTATTACATTTATTTATTTGGGGGTAGAGGAGAGCATTTATATGGAGGTCAAAGAACAACTTTCTAGAGTTGATTCTCTCCTTCCACCACATGGGCTCCAGTGACTGAACTCAGGTGGCCAGGCTTACTGGCTTGCGTCTTCACCCACTGAGCCATCTCATTGACTCTTGAATGTTTATATGACACACTCTAAGCTGTATGTGCAAGCCATACTATCCAGAAAGATTCTTAGGGAGAGTCTTGCTAAGCACATGGACTCTGAATTCTGGATCCAGCCTAACTTCCACCTATGGTGGGGGCCCTGAATAAACTTCTGCAGTCTCTGCCTCAGTTTCTCTATCTGTCCAATAGGAATAGTAGAAGTAGGGTTCTGATGAGTTAGGGTAAGAAACCTCTGGCCTAGCAGTGAGGCTGGGACACCCATTGAGATTGCTCACCAAGGATCATGGAGCAGCGTTGGGCGGGTTCCTGGCCAGTGAGCAGCGTGAAGTGTTCTGGGTAGTAGAATTCCAGGGCTTCCAAGAAGGCCTCGAAGCCCCTCTTGCCGCGGCAGCGCAAGATGTCTATGAGGCGCCCTAAGGGTAAAGGTTGCAGCCGGGGTCAGTATGAGGGCTTCCCCAAAGCCCCTGCTCTCTAACAACACAATGCTCCAGGGCCCACGTTCCCCAGATTTTTGGGCTGTGACACACACAGGGGCCTGTCCCAACACATCAGAGAGCAAAACTCAGTCTTCCCTGGCTAGGAACACCAGACCTTCCTCACAGCACATCACCTGCACTGCAGCAGGTCCCAAGCACCACACACACACACACACACACACCCCACCCCACACACACACACACCCATGCCCGGTTATTGAAAATGCCCAAATTGGCTTAAGTTCCCTGAGAGCCTGGCTCCCTTACCAGCTGTGGTCCAAAGACACCCAGGGGCAGAAGAGCCTCAGAAAACTGAGGCCAGACTTCAGCTCCTGAGGAAAACTGATTCTCTAAGGGGGTGCCTGATTCTCTAAGGGGGTGCACGGGGTGCATTGCCACACAGATGGAACAGAGAGGACCAGAGAGGTCAAAGAGCACAGGAAAGATCCCGCAGGGGTCGCCATCTACACCGGCCACCACCACATCCAGCCTTCTATCTGGAGTGGGCCCAGGAAAGCCCTGGAGGCGGCGGGCTCACCGGTGCGGTTGGCCCGGCACGGGAAACGGTATGTGCTGAGCACCTCCTCCTCATCCTGCTCGTCCAGGACGCGGCACTGGCGCAGATACGGAGTGAGCTTGGCCGGGTTCAGGGCGCGCGTCAGCCGGTGGCGG